TCCCCTGCCTACTCCAATGATGATGGTCCCTGTAATAAATGCAATATATTTGCTGAAATGGAGACGGGGCTCAGTGACTAGAAAAGCTGGTAGAAGCACTCCATAGCTGCAAGCTACTCCAGTAGCTAGTTGGAGAGCAGAGGTGGAGGGACGAGTGGCTCATGACACACTTTGTTTTGCTCTACAGGCAGTGCACAACAGCAAACCTAGTGGTGAAACGATTTTGCTTATTGCCCCTTTAAGGTAGAATAAACATAATTTTCCTATAGATTACTGACTGATGTACAAAAAAAAAAAAAAATCAACAAGAACATGATGGCGACACGGTTGCAACGGTATGAGATTTTCACAGAAAAATAATGGTCTCAGAAAATATCGCAGTTTAACGGTATCATGGTATTACAGAATTGTTATTATCAGTCAGAATTACCCTTAAAGGAATTCAACAAACAAATGTAAATAAATGTTTTATTACTGTATGTGAAACTTGAAACCATTTTAATGAAGTATGTGTAAAAAGTCTCCCCTTTGAAAATAACTAAAACAAAGTCGAGATTTTCTGCCCAGTTGCATTTTTTCCACCCAATATCATAGATAAGCACATGTGTATGGTATGATAACCGTCTATTTTATTATCATGGTATATCTTGAAACCAGTATACCATTGCAACCCTAGATGGAGATTGGTTTGCCTTTTTGAAGGCGTATATAGCAGATGGCACAATTTTAGAGTTCTTCTTTGAACATGGGCATATTTCTGAGATGGCAGTCTGAATCACTCACCAAGGGCCCACTCTTTGCCTGTCACCTTATTGGAGGGCTCTCTCTCCCTAAGGCCCCCCCTGTCCACCCTATGGGCCAGCCGCGCTGCCTGTACTATCTATATTTACACTCCTGCTGGTCATGAATGTCTTTCATGGTCTGATTTCAATAAACCCACGACACGTCTTTTGCGGGAATACAACCGTATATCTGTTTACATCTGTCGGAGCTCACAGCGAAACATGGAATGCATCCCCTGACAGTAACAAAACACGGAGCAAAATTAAAAATGAACTTCTAGTCTCTGAGCTAGCTAACTGGGTGGACAGGAGAGTCGCACTCGTCATGGAGGAACCACAGACCCTACTGACAATGTTATCGATCAAACCGGATCAGTACTAGTTTATATTAGAGATAACAGACTCACATTTCTTCGTGTTTCTCAAGTAATTCCGTTTCTCCAATAAGAGAAGCAGACATTGCTGACAACAGCAGCACTTCCTCTGATCCTCCGGAGTGTAGCATCAAGCTAACAACAATTTGCCATATAACCGGAAGTACATCGTACTTCAGAATAAAAGCGCAATTTGTTTAAGAGAAAAAAAGATCACCTTTTTTATTGTTTTTACTGAACACGTTTGACTGCTGCCGCTGAAACGTTGTGTAAATTATTCTAAAACACTGATTATTATATAAGAATGTAATTAAAGGTTTATTACCGTGTATTAAGCTTTCCGTTGAATTACCTGAAAACATATAGTGTGTTAATATGAAACTTCTGTTCGGAAGTTCTTCTTCTTATTTTGGAAAACTGAACAGCTATCCATAATGTTGCGGCGCTCAGTAACCATAGCAATCAAGACACGAGGGTGGCTACCTGCTGCCCTCTGCTGGCTCTATTTTAGAAAGCATTTGATGAATTCAAAGCAAATACGTTTTCCTTTTTGTCTGTTATATACGTTGAAGTCAACCATTTTCTTATTGAGCAGGCTGAATCACCATAGGTGTTAACCTTAATATTCTGCCCCCCCCCCCCCCCCCAAACAGATGCTTTCTTTATGAAAGCAAGCATTCTACAGCATATCAGCCACCATCAGCATATCCAAAAGTTCTGTCAGGCCGAATGCACCCAAGAGGGCTAAAATAGCGCACCCAAAAGAGCACCTGAGCGGACACTATCCCTTACATTGTGCTTGTGTCATACCCCATAGCTCCCATGAGGTCAAAGAGCGTGTCCCAGCCTTTTTAAAATAGCCTTGCAAGTCCCCAGGAACAGCGCCGGGCTATGAAGCCAATTTTACATAGTGGCCAAAGTGACATTACAACGGGGTCCATCGAGTGCTACCATGGGAACTCAAAAGACTTTTTTCCATAGACTTACTTTGGGAAGGAGACATCAATAGATATATTTTCTGAGTGTCACAGCCCCTGAAAAATGATTCCTTTAACTATTTCATCCATTCATTCTGATAACATTTTTTAAAGACTTGAAGAGCTGCTAGATTAAATCAGTTTATACCCATTCAAGTTAGGGAGGAGCCAAACCGGAAGTCAGCATTAAGTTAGCTGCTCTGCCATGCTTGGTGGCAGTAAATCTCTAGTGCACTTGCTCTATGGGCCCCACAATGCAGAAGATCCAACTTTATATCGTAGGGATGCACAATATTGGATTTTTCCAATATGCCAATATATAACAACTTTTTTGGTTGATAACCTATACCAATATTGATATAACCACTTTTTTCCCTACCTAATTTTAGTGATCATCAAGTCTCTTCTGTAGTGGAATTAACATCATATTATGCATGCATACTCTTATCGTGATGGACCACCAGCAGATGGAGACATGAAATAAGATGATTTTCAATGTATGAAATATTCATTCATTGTGCTAAATAAGAAAAAGCATGTTAACCGATTCTGAAAGTTCATTTTAAAGCTGATATTGGCCGATACCGATATTTTATTTCAAAGCCAATATCGGCTGATATTGATGAAGTTCTGATATTACCGTGCAACCCCATTGTATGGCTTATCTGTTGTTCAAAGTTTATTAAGGAGAATATTTCACGCTTCTCCGTCAAACCTTTAAAGTTTTACTGACGTATTTTTCCTGAATGCTTACACAGTTGTCCTACAAGAGAGCAGCATCAAGGAGTGCAGCCAGCTGAAACAGGAAGACCAGTGCCTGTGTGTGCCCATGATCACACAAACACCCAAAGCTTACTCTTTCTTTTTAATTAATGATATCATATTATTTTTAAGGATGAATGAAATGACACATTATTAGATCTGGGACTTTTTAAAATTATCAAGCCTATCCTCATTTTTGAAAATATATATCTATACAGCCTATTTGAAACCGCAGCTATTGACAAAACAATGAGGGCTGAAGCCTCAGACACCCAGGCCTGACAACACCACTGGTAGCAGACCCTGTAAAGAAAACCTAAAGCACACAAAGCACAAATATTATCACAAAAATTATTTCAGAAAATTACATCAAAACCCATATTTTATTTTATGTATAGCAATACCATTTACATATTAAATAACACTATAATAGAATGCTTTGATATAGCTTTCAACGAAACAAAAAAAGAAATCCATCTTCTTGTCTTATTTCATGTTACAAAAGAGGAAGGAACAGCCACCTTTTCAAAAAGGATCAATGGTGTGGACATTATCCAGTGACTTACAAGAGAGAGAGCTATTCTATTGTTCACGCCTGGCAACAGAATCATAGCCTCCGGAGGACAAAAACCAAAAGCAAAAGAATCAAAAGAGGGGATAACATAGTAATATCATAATCACTGCCTGAACATTAATGGAGGGCGTGAAGCTGGAAACTGGAATGCGATGATGACCACAAACTGGACGCACAGACACCTGGCTTCCACACGATCCACCACAAACAGCAACGCAATGAGTGAATTCCAATGGAGGAAACAGACTGAACATTTTTGTGATTACAGACCAGACAGGTGTCCGATTAGAAACCTTGAGAGAGCTTTGTGGTACATGTTCCATCAAGAAATTGTAAAAGAATTAATTGTGGATAACAAAATCATCGACAAAAAAGAAATATGAAAAATGTGACATTTCCTCTGACACAGTCAATACATACATAGTTTCCAGAGAAGGGCTGGGTTACAGAGGCAACAAAATATTATGTACATTTCTTATTGACAGTACAGCTCTGTGTGCGCTTGTGGCAACACAAAACACTTTTCATTCAGAATGATCACTGATCAGAATAGCTTAATTATGGAGACAGGAAAGATGATAGAGTGAGCATCTTAAGGGCCCGATCACACCAGAAATATAAAAGCAACGTTTCAGACATCAGTACATTTGACCTGATCAGTGAATTTGACATACAAAGCCATGTCATTAAGCATCCGTTGACAGTGCTAAGCTTTGAGGAAATGGAGATTCGGAGTTCAAAATTGAGGCAGCTATCATATTAGCTGTGACACACCATCCAATTTGATATCAACCTGCTTTGTGAGAGTAAACTGTTCCTCAACAGAGATGCAGCAGATTCCTTAAATTAACTGCTTTATTGTATTATCCTGTTAGCGACTGATAGCAAGCTAAGTACTCCGACTGACTACAGATATGGATGTATGAAGAGAACTGCATACAGCGTTAGAGGCAGCACCCCACTCATCCCTATGAAAGTTAAGCAGTGGCACATGAAACCCAAAAAGGTATAAAGTTATCCGGATCTTCCACATCATTGGGGCCATACAGCGAGTGCACCAGAGACTTCCACCAGCCGATCTGGCTACTTTCAGTTGAGCCCTTCACTAACTTGAATGGAGACAAAATGATTTAATTGTGCAGCTCTTGTAGACTTTAGAAATATTATTGAATTCTCGATAGTGAAATAAGTAATTTTGTAGGGGTTCCACTAGTTTACCAATGTCTTTTCCTAACACAATCTCATCCCAGCTCGTCAAACATTGCTGCTTTGACAGTGGACTTTCACATCTACTTATGATGCGCTAGCTATCCTCCTGCGTCTATTGTTGACATTCAAGGATGGCGTGTCAATTTAAGTTTGTAACATGCATTGTGTCTTCTGAAAATGCACTTCCGTTTTCACAGGAAATGTACATTTTCTGCTCCTTCGATCCATAACAGTCTTTTTCAAAATAAACTAACAATGTTGGTAAAACACCTTGTATTTATGTTTATTTTCTTGTGCAACAAAAGCACATGGTTAAGTTTAGAAAAAAACAATATCGTTTGGCTCAACATTCACACGGGAGGCAAACAGTGGACTCCTGGGTGAAAGTCCTGAGTTTGTTGGACCTATACACCTCCCCTACCCTGCCCTCCCCTCCCCCCCAGCCATAGGGACTTCCCAGCTCTTTATATAATGTTGTTACTGTTAATACCGTTGCTGTCAAGCAAGTATCACACCTTTTTGCGTTGGTGTCTGATGCTGAAATCACAAAGTGGTGGTATTTGAGAATGGACTGCTCTTTCCCAATGTAAGTCAATGGGAAAAAGTGTTATTGGGCACAATGGCATCAAGTGATGGACCAAGATGTTGCACTTACAAAGTTTGGCCACCATGTAAAATTGGGTCCAAAGTCTGGTGCACTTCCTTGGTGCACTTCCACAACTAGCATTAGCAGGTTATTGGCTAGCTATTAAAACTTAGCTCAGTAGTGGCAGAAGCTCGCTAATTTTTTTAAGGACGCGAAAATGAATTTCGATGCGCCACGTTCTGGTGTGACCTGGCACTTAGGCAAAGTGTGTATGTTAAAAAGAAATAAAAAAAACAAGACAAGAAAAGTCCCAGAAACAGAAAATGTTTTGTAGAGTTCAGCTCATATGGTTGCATTTTAAAAGAAGATAACATTGCAATATAGCCAGAAATAGAGATCCTTAATGCTCCTCTGTCTGCTCAGTTTATCTCTTGATGCATCTCTTTATCCCAAATGATGGTGTATAACAATAACTGCAAGTAAGGACTTTAATGCTGAAGTCAAAGCAAACAGATACTAAAGTGAGACTTTGAAGCAAACTTTTGTAAGGACACTGATACAAATACAGATATAGTGTGAGGGTGAGAAAGGAGGGTGAGAAAGGAGGGTTGGGCACCCAGTCAGAGAGAGAAATCGGACAAAAGAGAGAGAAAAAGCTTACCCAGCATGTTTTTCTGCACGGGAAGGATTCAAGTCTTTGGTAAAAGTTTTTAAAAAATCAAAATACATTTGCCCCCCCTCGCATTCCACACACTATCTGTTTTGTGCTGTGTGAAAAAAAAGAAACACTTTCACAGTTTCATTCAAAATGCAAAGCCACAAGTGTTCATCTCACGCCATCAACATTACAGAATATCATCAAAATCAGCGGGTAAAGTAGAACATCCTCATGTCAAAGAAAGGTGTAAGTGTGGAAATATGTGTGTGTTTAGGAGGTTACTGCAGCTGAAGCAGGAAACATTTCAGACTCTGCTCTTTGCTTGTAGGCCACAAAACCACTAAAAAATACATCTCTGGAGAAAAGGGAGTGAGGAACAGAAACTATATACACAAGGCCTTGAGAGGTTGGAGCGAGTGATCACACCTCTGTCAGCGAGCACGGATCTGGAACAGACCTCCACCTGTTCTGTTTTCTCCAAAATGCAGTTGTTTTTTTGTTTTTGTTTTTTTTTTTGCTTTAAATCACTTTAATATTTCACACTGGACACAAATTGTTAAAGAAAATGATCGCTCTCCAGGATGTGACATATTAGAAACTAGCCTCTAAGGTCTGTGTACTATGGCAGATAAATCAGATCTGGTCAGCGTCCTGGGTTTTAATGACATGTGGATGCTTTTGTCAAGACACTGATGATAAAAACACCTACATAAGTAAGACTGCTTAAGCGTATGTTTCTGTGAGTTTATGGCTGGTTTAATGAGAAGAGCAACAGTTTGTCAGTCCACATGGTCAATGAGTAGTGTGTAAGTTGGCAATGGCTGCCAGATAGTTAGAATTCCAAGGGTAAGGCTGTCGGTACTATTGTCAACTAAGGAAAGACCAAAACCAAAACCAACAATGAATTGATTAGTGGCCCTGCATGTCATACTAAAACACTCTAGGTACCCCTGTAGCATCACTTTTGGACCAGCCCAGTCGGCAGAAGAAATGGTGGCATTGTAGGCCAACGTTTCTGCAAATTATGTTACATTTGAGCATTTTATGTCAACATTTCTTAAGTGACATAGTGACATAGATGACTTTGTCATCGGGAGGTGGAGGGGATGGTGGATGGTGTGACATCAGTCGAGATGCAGACCACTGCAGATCACTGTTAGAGACCAACAAGCAACACAACTGGCTGTGATTTAATGAGTAACAACCAGACGCTGTTTTTTCAGCAGCTATTTAGGCATGAAAAGAGACATTGCTGCTTTTCCTGCTGGGATTGTGCCCCCAAACCGGCTATTTTTGGCCAAACCATGATTGTTTCCTTACCATAACCAAGTGTTTTGTGCCTAAACCTAACCATGCGTTAAGCATGGCATTTTGGATACATAACATTTTAACTTATCTGCTACATAGTAACATGCAAATGTATTCGTGGTTTGCAGAGATGTACAATGCCAACAGTCTGGTGATTGTAGTATTTGGACACTTAGGAATAGCATGTCAATTTTTGCTTGTTACATGCATAAATCCTTTCAAAATATACTTGTTTTTACAGGAACTGTACAGTTTCCACTTGTTAAATGCATACAGTCTTGTTTCAAAGTAAACTTCCAGCATAGGTTTAGTTTTTAGTTTTATTTCCTTAAGTTTAGGCAATAAAAGTAAGTGGTCATGTGACACAGGACGCTACATTCTCAAAATAACCCGTCATTGATTTCCAATTTCACATGGGACACAAACAGCCGTCTTCTAGATAGAAGTCCTGTGTTTGTTTGACCCTTCCGTCCCTCCCTATGTGGACTTTCTCACCCTTCACACTATGGCTGTTGTTTAGAGCATCAAATAATGAAGTGACCCAGTGCGTCTCTTACAGATGCCATAGGGTGCCTTGGGGCATCACTGTCTCCATTAACCACTGACCAACCATTGGTATTTGATGAATTGGGAGTGAGAACAGGTTGCTAAAAATTACAGCGCCCAGCTGTTTTAGGAAATTACTGAGTATGGTTATTTAACACAACACATTTTTTAAAAGATTAATGTTGTGTAGAAATAAGTGTGCCACAGACAGAGTAGGGAAACTGTTTTGTAGTATTGAGAGATGGAGATGAACATCTTCTTGGTTGTTGTTGTTTTTTTCTCCACAAAATGTGTCAACAAATAGACAATATAGAAAAATGCCAGACTTATCCTTCAAGTTTGACAGAGGAGTTGGATTAGGTACTGCTGGATGCTGAATAATCCACTTACCGATTACATTTCTTATGACATCCCTTTTCAGATTATTGTCATGTTATGGAATTCAAAGCAAAATATGCTGAAAGCAAAAACACCTTTACTTTCAACACATTTAAGCAGCCAGTTACAATAATGTATCATGAATGATGGTATTGTGTGGTTCTCTTTCATTAAACTGAATTGGTAATGTTTTTCTTTATGTTGAATATGAATGTTGAATATTGACTATTTTCTACTTTTACTAGCTTGGGTTGAGACACAGATGCATTTGCTGATTCTTAACATTATGACATTACCAATGCTACTCCATGCTACAGGAAATGCTTTGTCACGTTAGACATATAACTGTAGCACGACTGTGTTTTGTGAAATTTAGCCACACCTGAGTACTATCATCCGCCATTTTGTAAACACTGTACATGGGAGTTGGTGCAAGCAGTGCAGATGGAAGATAGAAGTTCCAAATTTCAGTGAAGTCAGGAATAGAAAGAAGAATCAAAAGGCATGTTTCTGAACAAACTCTAGCTCTTCATAACCAACCTCACAGACATCACAGACCAATGGGAAATGTAGCGACTTGTAATTAATCAGAAAATCAATTATAAATACAGTTTTGGTGGTCAAAGCACTGGCTTTAGGCTTCTAAGATGTACTATACAGTATATCATGAGATCCTTGAGAACCTAAAGAGCTTTTAAAGCAGGAGAATATGATCATTTAGCAGTTTTTAATCTGTCCAGATGACACAAATAAAATCAAAAGATGCAAAATGCAAAAATTATAAAATAAATCTAAACCCACTGCAGTGAGACTGGTCAAATCTGGACTAGACTAACACTGAGAACCCAAAGACTGTTTTAAACCCTGTTTTGGATTTCTAAAACAAAATCAACTTGTTGCATAGAGCTTGTTTTTGAGTCTGCTGTTCCCCTGCACATTATACTGATTCCACCCTGTAATGACACACAGGTGCATGTGAGTTATTGAGGGCTTCACATACAGGCCTCTGTGTTCTTAATCCGTGCTTGTCTGTCAGAATGAATTTATGACCTAAAATAAATCCTTTCAAAACATGATTTTCAGAGAGATGGGCAATGTCACATTGTTGCATCATCTGTTGTAGTTGGTCAAACGTTTCAAATGTAAAATCACTACTGGTGACATTTGTATGTGTGTATGTGTGTGAGTTCAGATGATGTAGCAGCATACAGAAAGGTAGAGGACCGAGAAGATCCGCTTCCAGATGGCTGTGGATCAGCTGTGAGTAGTGGGGTGGTAAACTATCGGACGCAGTGGAAATTAACCGGCCTGAGGCGGGAGGCCACAAAGGACATGTACAAAAATCACAAAGTTATTATGATAAGGATATATTTATATATGTATACATACAGTATTTCCATATATTAAAAAGCATAATATGAATTATACAAAGAAATAATAAAATTTCACAGTAGCAGTTGTTACACCACCTTATGTATTCTAACATGGGTGTGACTCGCTAATAAGAGGGAGAGTGAAGAAAACAAATTAAAAAAAACGGTGAGGAGGAAACTACTTTTAGAAAACAAGTGCTACTTGTCTGTGGCAACAGGTTCCAAGATCTTGATTCTTGTGATAAATGAGTGATAATATGAGTACTATAGATGAGCAGGGCAGAGGAGGTCACGTTGAGCTGAAGTCGAACAGCATTTTTGTTACTGAGGCGGAAAGTTCGTGCCTTCCTCCGTCCACTGTCTTAAATCAACTGGTAGGTGGCAGGCAGAACAATGTCCTTCACAGAAGCAGTTGATTTAATTAGGGCCAAAGCCATGGAATGTCAAAAAAAAAAAAAAGTCAGAGCTTGAGTGGAGAAAAGCCAAGTGAGTCAGCTTTAGTATAGGCAGTAACACTGACATTACATAGTGCAAACAAGAAAAGACAGAAAAGTGTTTCTCGTTGCCTACCGACGCCGTCGTGAAACTTAAAAACGCAGGTGCAAACCCTTCAGTAGGAGAACATTAAGACATAAAATGGCGAAAAAAATAAATATCAAAAACTTTTTATCAGTGTAAAAAAGTAATCAGGTTATTCATTTTAACCAAGAGTCTGGCAAAAAGGCCTCAAAAAGTCTTGTTCACAATAGTTCCTTGATGTTTTACAAAGTTAAGTGCCTCCTTGGTGGGCTCAGGGACCTCACAGGGTGTTTGGACCCACAGGACACCCTCAGCTCATCTCAGCTCCGGGCCCTTGAAGGGCCGCTCTCAGACCAGCGACTCCATGCTCTCTGCTTGGTCAGACTGGTCGGACATGGACGACATGGTCCCGTTAATGTCCCTGGCCAGAAGACCCGAGCCGTTGGTGCTGACGAGGCTGAGCAGGGCTTTGTATAGGTACTGGTACTGGTCCTGTGGACCAGTCAGTGACAGAGACAAGAAAGACAGAGAAGAGAAAAGATGAGAACAATATACTGTGTGACAACCATTCTTTTACCTCCTTGAGCCCTATCCTGTATCATACTGTAGCTTAGTAGGTAGTAAGATGTTGCCAAATTCCTGTCAAGTTCACTGAACTGATAATATACTTACACTCCTTTTGAACAAGAAGCATTAGCATCTAGGGATTGTTAGGGAATAGAGTGTACATCTAGCATTTCTGGGTAATGTTAGGGTTGCAGTTAAGTCCCACTGACTTGAAATCTTTAATTGTTGCATGGGAGCATGGTCTATAACCAGCCTAGTTGCCAGAAGGAAATGTTGGCATTGCATGTTTCTGCAAACCAGGGATATGTCACAATTGTACATTTTATACCTATCATTTCAACATTTCCAAAGTGACGTAATACATAAACAGACTTTTTTCTTTGGGAGTTGGAGGGGATGGTGGGTGTTTAAAGCCAATTAGCCATTGTCTTTTTCCAATCATTTCCAAGTGTTTTTTGTGTCTAAACCAAACCACAGCTTCACCACAGCATTGCTGAAAAACATTAAGTTTCAGTTTACCTGCTACATATTAATGTACAAAACTATGTAACATGGTTACAAAACTTACAACATGAACATTCCTCTTCTGGCGATGGGTTGCTTTTACAGTAGCTCATAATTCAAGTTCCTGACTCAGAGACATCTGGCAGTATGTACTGAACTTAACACACTAAGTTTCAACTAGTGTGTGTAATTAAAGATGCATGAAGGCGTGGCCTATAATATATTGGTTCATAACTTAAGTTGTACTTCTGAAACTTTTCCAGAGTGCACTAACTTTTCTTTAGACAGACTCTGGTATTAAATCCAGCAGAGAGGAGCTGGATTGGATGCTCCAGAGATGACTGTTCTTTCATCATTGACTGTAGCCAACATAAGCTATTCTTATTAGTTTTTCATTATATTGATATTTTTGATTATTTTTATTTGTTTGAATGATAAACATATTTTGACTATTTTAAAAATAAACAATTACTGCTCTCTTAAGTATCCTTTAACAAATTACATTGAGATTTAACAAATAAGTTACAAAACACTAAAAAGTAATTGCAATTCGTACTTAGAATACACGTAAGAGAAATACTGTGACAAATATGTGATTGGTCTTACTGCCTCTTTAAACCGAATTAAACTAGCTAAGGTGACTTTGTGAAGCTTTGTGACAACTGAAACCTGCTCAGGGCTCATGGTTTCTTTCAGCTTTAATTTTGGATGGTAAGAACTACTTGCTTCTGTTACCTATGAAAGCTTTGAACCCTGAATCTTGGCTTGCGGCTGTATTTTTAGTTGCAGTTGTCAGACTCACAATGTCTGTGAAGACTCCTGGCCTCATGAGGTTGATCATCTTGGCCACTTGATAGACATCAACGGCACCTTCACTCTCCAGCTGCTGAGACAGTGTGGTGAGGGCACACAGCATGCCAGCTGACACGGATCCCAACCTGAGGGACACAAACACACAGCCAGCGTCTGGGGTTAGCATGCATTTCCACAATGACTGCATTGAAATATCCACCCTCTAGACTTGCGGACAGAGCCCTCGTGGACTTTAGTCATACATGCTGTAACAAGTTCACCATCATCACGTAAAGTCTGCGAGGGCAGAGACCGCAAGCTGCTGATAGACAGCCCTCAAGACTGTTTTACTTGTTCCCATGGAAACATTCAAGTGACTATTACAATCATTGTAACTGCTGTCATATTCTGCAGATAACAGGATATAAATCTCATGAATAGGGTTGTTTTGTGAGTGAACACCGAGCTATGACCAAATAAACTGGGCAGGCCTATTAGTTACATAAGAAGATCTTCTTGAGTTGTTTTTTAGCCACTTTTCTAGCCTTCATATTTGGCATTATACTGTGCAACCTATAGGCTGCAATAATACAATGCATTTTAATTACCATCTATAGCTTACTGTATATTTCTACATATTTCTGGATCATGATGTTGTTGAATATTATTTCTGGCATACACTATTCAAGTATTGTTTTAATAGGCTACAGTAACTGTTTTACACACACATAAGTTTTTTTTTCAGTTAGCTATTGCAAAAAACAAAAGAAGAAAAAAGAAAGAAAAAAACCTATGTCCCATCAGTGTTGCAATAAATTGTGGGTTATTAAATCAGTGAAGTCTGCTGATGTCTGCATCCCAAGCTCCCTGGATGTCTGCAGCAAGTCCTTGTGAACTGAAAGAATCGTGGATTTGGACAGCCCTAGGCACTCCCAGACTTCCTGGGAATGGACCCGTAAAATCCATGAGTCTGTAAGTGCAGATGTGGATCCAGCCCATAATATCATAAAAGCTCATAGTATGTTTCTCCTCTACTACTGTAGTTTGACAACATACCATCGATCTTGCTGTTTTTACAGGTATAGTAGTAATGGCACTCACAGTGCACTCTTAGTAACTTGGTAACACATCATCTATTGCCATTATAAACTATGGAGCTCCTCAAAGTTCTGTCCTAGGCCCTCTTCTATTCTGTATTTATTACATGCCTCCTCTTGGTAGATTAATACCTAATTATAAAATCTCTTTCCAATGACACTCAACTCTGTGTGTTTATAAAATCAGAATCCCCACCAGAATTAATTAATAAAAAAAAAATGTTTAAAGGATATCAAGTGCTGGATGTACCTAAAGTTCCTCTTACTCAATGAGGAAAAAATACAAATAATATTATTTGGGTCACTGAACACCATCATGTCAATAAGGTAGTTCAGTACTGCTTTAATCAACACATGTACAGATGGATTATTTTTTTTATTATTATTATCACTATTAATGGGGCTGAAAACATGTTTGTCAAGAAGATGGCACAAGAGAGAGGTCCTGAGATTATCTGAATTAAATCTATCTTCTGTGTGGAGCTGACATTTTGGCTTGAGGGTGTCATTACAGGAAAACATCATGGAAGAGTGCAAAAAACAGCATGTGGTGCCTGTAAAATATGGTTTTGCCTCCCACTCACCATGGGCTATAAAACACTTAATGTTGTAGTACTAAAACAACAGAAGACTACATTTTGAAAAGCTTGTAATGGCCGAAATGATTCACATTTCTACAAATACCAAACTCATGGAAGATAATTATCATTGTCATCTACTGATTTATAACTCCTCATTATGAAATTGAAGTGCAAAATAAAACAATCATGCACCAGTTTTGCAAAGTAACAAACACTTCATTTTCGCCCATTTCAGTTTTCATTTGTTTGCACTGTTTAACTTCACAGACACTGTGCTCATGGTGTGCCTCAGCTTTGTTGGAACACAAACTCATGAGTTCTATTTAAGAGCAGCAATATGCCAGAAACAACCTCCCACCTGTCATCAGATGTTTGGACTGCAGCTTGATGTACACGCCATTTTTATGTGTATCATCATCCCAACACTGCTTATAAAGCTTCTAGCATAGGTTTAAGGAGAAAGACAGTGTTGTCATCATGGTGGGTCTCTGTCTCTCAGTTACTAGCCAATGAACTCACTTGGATATGTTCACAGAAAAGTGAGCTGAAAGATGCTTTATGTCTATTTGTCTTCACTGCAACATTGACCCTTTGACCCACCAACTACCCTGCACTGCCCAGGTCATGGCCCTATTTATTACTTTGCAGCTAGTTATGCTGTCCTTGCACCACATGACTTTTTGAGCGATTTTAATCTCATAGACAAATTTCCAATGTAGGGATATAAGTGAGTTTTACCTCAGTTGGTACGCGCTCTCTAGATCTCAATTATTTGGTGTAAGCTGGCCATAACACTCGATCTAAGCTATCTTAAGTCAGTCTTTTTTCTAATCTGAACATTCTGACAAAATAAAACGTGTTTAATACTACTGAAAGCTTTGAGCTCATGCAAGTACTGAAGATCGTGAACATTGATATGAAAATTGTCAACAACTAATTGCTGCGCTCTCTCCAGCACCAGACAGAAAAAAGTAAACCAATAGACAGTTAACATGGAGGGGACTCTGGAAGGGAGCAAAAGCGTGAACAAGTCTTTGTTGTCTTGTACTCTGGAAAACGAGGAGAAACTGGTGGAGCTGTGGAGTGAATAAGAGCTGATTTTTAAGTCACCGTGTATCTGATCCACCAACCTGCACTTACAGTAGTAAGAAATTTTCATTTTTGAAAGAGTTCAACTCTCATTCTCACAGCCTCCTCCACTAAAGTAGTGCAGCTTACCAAAGGAGGCTGGTAGTGATTTGAGGAGAAAAAATCCAAAATGTAAAGTTTGTATACAAATACAATTTATTTCTATACATTATATTGATGCCAAATCGACAAGATTACTGTTGACATATGACGCCTTTTATTTTGTGTTTCTAGATTTATGTGTTTTTGCGGACATGCAAGGAATTATTAATATGTCATATTTCTTAAAGGGAGTTTGGCATAATGTTTTCCACCAGGAGCAGCATGGGAAATCATCTCAAAAGGAAGCAAGTTGTAGGCTTGCAAATCGTGACTCTGGAAGATCCCCAGTCTTTGCAAAATCTTATAATCTGTGACTGACACTCACATTGTCTTTAGATGTGAGAGGATGTCAGACTTTAGTCTTTTCAAGGTCATCTAGGGTAGATTTATTGTATGGCTGCCATTTGTAGAATTTTACCTCTTATAAATGGTCTCTCACCAAAGAAATGGTCTTTCAGTTTTCTCTGATTGAAATCTGCTTTAGATTAAATCCACTGGCAATGGGAAAATCTCTCGGTGGACTCTTAAAATTCCTGATTTGAGGTGCTATGAAGACCTTTACAACTTAGCATTAGAGATGTCCTTGACAGCTGCTCAGCCAGGGAGTGAAGACCCTCACAGATCAGGAATGTCACCTCTGAGATTAAAGATTTATTAGCAAGTGAATCCACCTGAGGACGACAGCTCGGCCCGGCATAAGGCTCCCTGGAGAACGCCGGGTCGCCTTCACAATGTGAAGAGTCTCCTCTTCCATTAGCAGCCCTGTCAGGAGCGCAGCAGAAACCGCTGCTAACAACCCATGCCTGGCTGAATAATGAGTGTGCAGACAATTAGGACGAGCCTCTAACTGACAATCTCTTAGGTGCTGCAAGCCGCCTGCGCCATAGCAACCGCATGAAGTGCTCAATTAGTCACTTTTCTTCTTGAGGATGCGACAAGCAGTCTTCATTATTCTAATGAATAAACATGAGCAGAGCTGCTGGATTAGAGTGTCGTTCAAGAGCACTAATGTGTGTCAATACTAAAGACACTTTCATTATGTTTAATTGGGCAGTTTCCTGGGGTACCTGCGGGGAAGTCGGGGTTGGAGGGACTGTCACTGGTTGTTTAGAAGTAAAACAATATGTGTCTTTCCTCACTATACTTGCAGGATAGTTGGGCTGCCAGTGTCTCTGTGTGCCTGTTGGAGCAATTAGGTTTTTTGTTCACATCATTCTGCGTTCACAGACACAGACATATATTAACCTGGGAGTGGACACGATGGAGCTAATTAATATTGGGGATAACAACCACAGTGTTCTCTGAGATCAATGTGATTTGAGATTTAATAATATGGGAGAAGTAATTAAATCCTGCAGTGATTTAACTTTCAGCAAAGACTAAAGTCAACATCCTTTGTCAACTTTTTTTAGTACCAGCCAAAGTGTATATAATGTAATGTATCAGAGGTTGACACTTAAATGCTGGGTCAGACTTTTAACTTCATGTTTTGCAGATACATATTCTCTTTTTTATGTTTTTTGTTTGTCCCAAGTTGCTGAGCTGTCTCTGGAGTTTAAGGCTGAATTTACATGAAGGGGTTTGTGGGTAAATGGAAATTAAAATCTGGCAGGTGTGTAGCTCTTGTGTTAAATTTAATAAAGACAATAGCAATGGCACTTTGATTGTAAAGACAAGACTAGTGCTGTAGTTCCCCTCATCCTATCATACCCAATGTAATACGCAAATGGACCCAATGACGTAGAGTGGTATCAACTGCAATTTTCCGTTTTTACTTTAGCTTTTCTAATTTGACACATCATAATTTTCGGCACCTACTTAGAAATGTACCCATCCACTGATGTGCTGACAGAATATAAGAGTAAATGAAATGTATAACTGACTCATCGTGGATGATGGTTGGTCCATCGCGGCTGGCTGCCTCCTCCTTAATGACGTTGATGAGCTCGAAGGTGCTGCTGATGGGTGCGTCGGGCTTCGGCCACTTAGGGCACTGAAAGTGACGAACCTCTAAAACATAGTCATCCTGGTGGACAGACAGAGGATGAGACAGGCAGAAAAACAGCAAGAAAGAGAGAGTGAGAGAGAAAAAGGTTAGATGACGGACATTTGGTTTAGAACAGCTATAGTTAACTTGTCAATGTAACTTGAGCTTTGATTAAAATAATGGTACTGAGATTGCCCATGCTTCTGACAGGGCTGCAATTAGTACTGGTTCATTTCAAAACCAATGCTTTCATAAATAATCTTTGCCTTTTTTTCTATTAACCTTTAAATTCCCAATTTGACATAAACACCATCAATTTACTTCCACTAAAAGATCTTCAAATTTTGTGAATCAACAGATGTTGGGCACTGGAAAATGATAAAAGGCATGTATCATTTCTGTCTGTCTGTCAGCTAGGCTTGCTTCAATTGAAGTCTGATGGAAAACACTGGGATATAGCCCCATGTTTCTTACAAGGTGTTACATTCAGGTCAGATCTGAGGGAGTTTGTTTTGCTCTCAAGTGAAATTTCAACACAAGAGATACAAGATCTGAGCGCTAGCAGCTTTGAAGATAGTGAGAAGGCAAAGTCCTGTTTTTGTTCAAATCTGCAGACCCAATTCCTCTGGAGGCTCAAAACATCGATTGTACTCAGCATTCTGTCATAAACCACTCTAAAAACTCAAGACATTTATAAACCTCTACCTGCATGCTTGCTCTCAAATCTGGAGTTGCAGACTTATCATTATTTCAATTCGCTTTGCTCTTTGTTGTCAATCCACTAACCCAAACGTAATTGTCACTGTGTTTTAGAAAGTGGAGGGAGAGGAGGTTAAGTATGTTATCCTTCCTGTTCTTTAAACTGACCACAGTTTTTAAAGGTTCTATGTGTGGTACTTCTGTCTGTGCACACAGTATTACATTCACATTAATACAACAGTTGTGTAGTTACCTGTGTAGCTTCCAGGATGAAGTCATGGATGCTGATCTGCTCCTCATTGGACAGACAGAGTCGGTCTTGACTGATGAGGGTGACAGTGAATGCCTCGCAGTTCATTGCCTCCTCCCGACTGGGCCAGTACACAAACTCATCCTCTGCCTGCAGAAAAGCACAGGGACAGTTTCATTCCCTTCATGTAACAGTGAGTCACATGATACATTATTACTGTAGTATAATATTATATTATATTATTAAAAATATATACTAGTGGGAGGAGAAAGGTTCACTCAACACAACATTTGAACTGAAATTGCCACTATGATTGAGTAAGTAACAATAAAGTAATGAGTAAAGAGGAAAATAACATATTTGAACATTATAAACAGCTGTATTGCACTCCCTGTTTTATTAAACCTGCTGCTTAACACCTCTGGTGCATAAAACCAAAGAGTCACTGAATCTGGTAGTTTGACCAGTCCTGCAGAATGTTTGTCCCCTGATGCTGCAATCAAGGGAATCCCATTTTCAAGATTCCCTGAATGCTGAAAATGTCGAGCTTAGCTGTGACCCAAGCTTTCAATTAAAGGCATGTTAAAGGTGACCCAATTAGGCAATGTTCCAGTTAGTTAAAGCGCACCAACTGACCTACCATATAACTGCAATTTGCAAAGCCTCATTGCACAGCCTGAAGTGCTGGTCTAAAACTAATGATAGCTTCTTGTAAAAGTCTTTTTACTACAGTTTTAAACAGTTCCACAGGTTATATTATTACCAGATATGTACTTATTTGAGCCTTACATGATTGTATGTTTGTGTATGTGTGTACAAAACAAATTGTTGCAGAGTAAAACAGGTGCCCTGATTTATTTCTTTTCATTCCAGCCTGGTCCTGGGACTTCCATGGTTGCAATTCCTGTCTGGTCCTGATCATGTCAATCTTATTTCTACCCCTCTTGTCTGACTCAGGTTGGACAGTTTAAAAAACAGATTAAAATTAATGCAGCAAAACCAAGAGTATTATCTGCAAAATACAACTTGACCGCTGACAATATGGTCTGAGATCCAGGAGCCGTATTTTTAAGGCTTCCTGAAATAAAGAGTTACTCCTGGAGATGAAACCCTCAGAAAATTCTGAAAATTGTGACGTTTTCGTAGAATTTTTATCACTTAAGACTAGGTCCAAGCAAAGATAAAAGTTATTCACAGAGCATCTTAGACCTTTAAAGAGCTCCTAAGGTGAAAAACTGTTATGAGTAGCAATGAAGACTTCTAAGGTGCTTAAGGGTTTCTTAAGCAGAGGAGAAAATGGTGGAAAGACAAATAGGTAGGAGAAATACTCTCCAAATGCTAAATGACTAAGTGAGTTCATGAAATGCAGCTTTTAAAGTATGGCTTACAGTTTATTTCACAGAGAATTCTGTGGTTAGGCCTTTTCAAAGAATGTGTCATACCTAGCAATGGAGTCAACCACATGTCCTCACTGAGGTTAAGTTTCTGTCCCTTCCCTGCTCAGAGTTGCTCTGAGGAATAGGAACATTGGGGGGACTCCAAGTGATAAGAAGGGATCCTTTGTAAATACAGCCCCAGATTTCATATACAGTAGCTCCATCTGGAACCACCCGTGGCTTTAACTACTTTGTTAACATATGCAGTGATCCTCCCCAACTCCTGTGAACACGTTGTGTTTTGTGGAATCAGTGCAGTTCCCCTTACAGGGCTAGATAGGAGTTGTTTCTGCATCCCCTCAGATCTGATCTTGCAATTTGAGTAAATCGGCTTATGTATGCATTTTCTGAATTCATATTGCGGCAAACCCATCATTGTCCCATGCTTAAATAGCTGTGGCACATAAAACCACTGTGGGAAGGCAGATTTGCAGTACACTTCTGCCAACTCTTCCCCACTTCACAGGCTTTAAAAATCCTTACAGCACAATGTAACAGTCCTGCTGTCCCATGGAGATCCTGCAGAAGCCACAGGACACAGGATCAATGAGCAGATGTCTGCCAATAGTGTGTGCATATGAACATGGATGCATATGTGTAAGGGCTGATATGTGATGTGTCACATAGGTGGGCCAGAGTGGGGTTTTGTACCTGCTACACAGACTCTGTCTTTGCAGTGGGTGGTTGCTACCAGTTATGGTGTTGAGGTCATTATTATGATACAATGAAGATGACCTTTGACCTTTTAGATATAAAATGTCATCACTTCATCATTTTGTTCTATTAGATATTTGTGTGGAATCTTGTCATACTTAGCATATGAAGTCTTGAGTTATGGCCAAAAACATGTTTTATGAGGTTACAGTGACTTATAACAATGCAGGTATGGCTTCATCACCTCGGGAGTGTCATATGACAACGGTACTGCGTTTATTGTCACAGCCCTATGACTGCCGTTGACCATAATTACACAAAATGATGTATAACGCTGGCTCATGAAAATGTGTGTGTGATTCATGATACCTTAAACACAGGTTTAGGAGAAAATAAAGAGGTGTGCATGTGTTTGTCAAAGTGGTAGGTGGCACTTATAACCCTCCAGTGTAAGTGTATGTGTGTGTGTGTGTGTGTGTGTGTGTGTGTGTGTGTGTGTGTGCGCGCGCGTGTGTGTCTCCTACCAGTCCATGGTTGGCAGGCAGCATAACAATAATTTGTGCATTGTGGTCCCAGATCATTCTCCAAAAGTCTTTTGTGGTGTGGGGCAGAGGATGCTGGGTAATGATGAACTCATTACTCCGGTAGTAACCCTGTGAAAAACAAACCAAAAAATAGAATTACTGCCTTGCAGTTGTATGCTTCAGAGAACGCATCAAGCCGCAGTTACAGTTTACATCCATGTGAAAACACGGATGCTTCACACACATCTTCCCCCTGCAGCACAGAAGATTTATACAATCAACACAGCTTCAAGGTGGACACTCAAGATGACCAAATGTCTCCCCTTCTGTTCCTGAGTTATGATGCTGAGCAATGGCCTGAAAATAGAACATTATGATGTCACAGTGAATTTGACCTTTGACCTTTTGAATATAAAATGTCACCACTTCCTTATTTCATCCTGTTTGACATTTCTGTCAAATTTAGTCATGATTAGTGTATGAATTCTTGAGTAATGGCCAAAAACATGTTTTGTGAGGTCACTGTGACCTTTGACCACCACATTCTGACCAGTTCATTCTTCAGTCCAAATGGATTTATGCCAAATTTGAGGTTTCCCTCATGGCGCTCTTGAGATATCACATTAACGGATGGACAACACGAAAACATAATGCCTCCAGCCATGGCTATGGCCAGCACGGAGGCATAACAAACAGGTCATTGTGAGGGTTACACTACATTAATTTAGATTTTGGTTCCGCTCTAAACAGTGTAAACACATACCATTTACATTACTGAGTAAATCACCAGCTAATCGTCAGACATCCACCTGCACAGTTGGGATTTGGTTTCATTTAAGGGACTAAACAGAGCTTTGATGGTTAAATCTAATTTGTGTGAAACCTGAAATCTGCTGGTGAAAGGAAAATACTGAGCTGCTGTTAGCTGAGCTTTGATTTCACGCTCCAGAGGAAGAAGTGTCCTCACTGAACAGAAAGACCAGCCAAGAGCACATGAAAACTTAACCACCTGCTTTTCACAATTCTTTGGGTTAAGGGTTGCTTTCAACTTCTTAGTCATGCCTTTAAGGGCCATTCCACAATTACAAATCAAGGTCAGTTTTCTAGCCTTGGAGAATCCTTCTCAGCCTGCTGCATAATGCCTTTTGAGGTTCTGGAGGAGATCATCTTTAACTTTGACAAAATGTCATAATGAAATCATTAGGGTTATCTCGGCCGAGCGCAACACCTCAAAGTTTTCTTGGAAAGCTTGTATTACAAACTGGGTCATGCAAAAGATGTCTCCATTGTTACAAGAAACAAGTTACAGTGTCAGGTCTGTATATCAATATACCCAAGTGCTTCTCACAGTATTCACGACTAAAAGTCAGCATATCTGGGTCTCTGCTGCTTTGATTTTGACCATTCTCTTCTAAATCTCACTTTTGGAAATGCAAGTGCAACACTAAATTGCTGGAAAACCCTGTAAAAGCTACAGTCCCTGATTTTGTCACAGCATCCCTGATTCACCACATTCCTCACACCTGATGTCCAGAAATGTACTTTGTCATAGACTGAATCACAATGTTTATTAACAATAGCCTGGTAGAGAGCCCCTGTGTTAGTCGATACGTTACATTTAGACATTTTTCACAGCTTTACCTTGAAGCTTTTCAAACGGGGAACTGAAGCTGTTATATCAAAGCCACCAGACTCTGTTGACAATAACAGTAATTTTACGTAGCAGAACAGAGAATTGCTGGTCTACCACAGCCTCGACTGGTTAAGGTTCAGTTGAGCAAATGTACAAATGTAGTGTACACTTACAATGATAGATTTTTTTTAAGGTGGCTAAAATACGTTTTGCTGCAACCTCATCCACAGCAGTATATTTTTTTATCTTTTGTGCCAGTAGATTTGATTTATCAAAGATGATAGCAAAGCAAGAAAGTACAGAAAATAAGCACAGCAGAAATGTCAGATCAGTCAGGCCACAGTGTTGAACTATAGATCTTTAAATGTTACAGCTACAACTGAAAATGACAACAACTCTTACATATCTACACAAGTGAAATCAATTGCTAGTTGTTAGGTTGACGTCACTGTGATTCAGTCTGTAACACAATCAGGGGGTGTATATTAAAACATGCAGCCAGTGATGCTGACTGAGTGTAACCTGCTCTGAGTCAAAACATCAAGGAGAGAGTGGAGAGATCAATGATTTGATAGAAGAAGTGGAAGTGCTGACCATGATGTAAGAGGCGTTGATGTAATCTGTGCCTTTGATGCCGGGCAAAGGTGCTAGGCCGACTCTCGCTCGCTCCGCTGCTCGCACAGAAAAAGAGATAGAGAGAAAGTGGGGAGAGGAGTGGGAGGGGTGGGGACAGAGAAAGAATGGGCATTTACAAGATTATTCGAACAAACCAATCACACCGAAAGGCCGCTCTGTGTGTGCGTTCATTCATCCTTTTGCTGTTATTGGTTGAGTGTAAACAGTTCTTGGTAATGCCTGACTGGTGATTCATGGAACTGTGGAACAGCCAGTGACTGTCTACAGATTGTGTAACAGCTGCAGATAACAGAGAGAAGCTGAATATTAATAATAAGATAAACAACAGAGTAGTCCATATTAAAGCTACAGTTGGTAACTTAAATCAAATAACTTATACATCCACACAGCAGTCCACTGGACACATCTATAAAAAAATTCATATTCCACTGCCTCTGCTTTTAACGGTTCAGTGGTAGATCATATAAAACACCATTAAAGCACTACAAGGAGGATGCACTTGACTTTTCAAAAAAAAAAAATAGCTAGAATCCATCACACATGAGCAAAAACAACCAATAAGAGCAGAGGAGTCTCTACCGCAGCTGTCAATCATGCTCATGAGCTGCCATCAAATTGTCAAACTAGGCAGTGCTGATCAAATATAAACTGATAAATACATTCTGTTAATGCATTGCCTATTTTTCATCTCAGATGTTTACAGAATCATATTTTAGTATACTGTTTAGCTGTAAAATGATAATGTTTGTGACAAGGCCGCCATGTTGAAAGCAGTCAAGCTAAAACCAAGCACCACCCACCAGCCAGAGCAAAGTTTCTCATTTTACAGCTAACCAGTACACTAAACTATGTTTGCAGACTCTTGATTCCTATTTTATCATTCATTTGCCTAGTTTGACTGTTTGAGGAGCAGTGATTGACAGCTGTGTTAAACCCAGTTCGACCAACAGACAAGACAGTGTATCGTCTTCATAGAAACAACTCTCTGTACTTCTGTTGTGATTTCCAATTTTTCGGGCGTATTTTGTAGCTGAATATAATTTGCAAACACAGGGTTGTTCTTCACATTTGCATTTTTTAAACTGATGGCAAAAAAAAAGCTTTCATTTTGTGTACCAGTGTTACATTTTGTAAGTTTAACATTACAGCAAATCACACAAATGTATAGTGACATGGCCATTTAATCAGGAAATACAAAACTCTTTAAATAAGTATCATGGCTGTCTGGAGGTCATGTTTGCCATATCCGAAGATGACCTGATTCCTAAGAGGAATTTCTAAGAGGATTTAGCAAAAATGTACGTTTTCATAAAAATTCCAAATGGCAGGACAAGCAAATCATAGAAAGCAACACACAGAAAGCTGACAGAACTTGACATGCATGATGATAAAAAGCATGAACCTTTCATTTAGGAGTGAAGCAGCACAGAAATATGACTCAGAATTAAGATTCTCTGTGTAACATTCTTCTATAATGCAGAAGCTGTAAATTCAAAAACCAGAGGTTTCAAATTGCAGCTGCTTTTACTGGGAGTTATTACTTTCTGCTGTGTGGTTATGACTGCTGGAGGCAGTTTCATTTCAAATTTAATATGTTTTTACATGAGTGTAACACTTACATGGCACCACGGAGGAATTTCGATTTTTCTCTTTGTTGCACTCCTTCTGAGCGTTGAAGCATTCCATGAATCTGGCATTACACTGTGTTACCAACTAAAAGACAAAAGGAGCAGAAAAGGAGGGTGTTACACTTTGTCAGACAAGTGGCGGACCAACTTCTAATGACCAGGTAGTTATTCAAATGTACACTCAACACTCATTTTAGGAAACATTTATTGTACTGTACCTTGAATTCAGCATGCATTTTGTACTACAATCTATCAAAATCTACTTTGCAACTTTTCTTGTGATCAAAATGTATGTCCTTTTTCACAAAGGCCTATTATGTGGGGGAAAAAAACAGTACCCGGGTGAGAATGTGAGAATTAAGTGCACTGTGTTTGTGGAATAAAGCTTTTGTTGTGCACATACTCTCTATCTGGTCAAAACCTTGGTCTCCATTGTTTATAACAAGAATTATCTTAATGTTGTCAGCACTTCCAACCAACCCCTATCATACCCACAATCAACCAGAGCTGGATGATGAAATATCTGAGATATTGCCCAGGTGAATGTCCATTTCAGGGCTAAAGGAAGAGGAGTGTAAGAATTACGAAATGCATGTAAAGCTGTGTTAAGGTTCATTTTTATAACTTATTGATTTGAGGAGAAACCTACAGTTGTGTCTTTGCTGGTGGAGTTAAGGTGGCACTAGATGGCACTAATCTACAACTCTGTCTCTTAGACATTAAGTTTGTATATTACTAAATTGCATTCATAATTATGTTGCGGTGATAACATAAATGCTGCCTGGATAATACTTTTTTGGTGCATGGTGAAGAAGAGGGTAGAAGAGAATTTGGAAATATCTGGTATTTGCAGTTTTCTTAGCAGTTTTATGTTTCTCACTCTGCATGTGTGATTCCACTGCCTTGATTACCATCGTAAGTTCGAGAAAATGATTGCAGAAAATACAGAGAGCCTTGTTTGCAGTGCCCTGTACAAGTTTCAGCCATGCCGGGAAGTCTTAGTTAAATACCAAATTTTCACTTCATTTGCACTGGTCCCACTATTTTGATCTGTGACACATTATGTGAGAGGCATTCAGTAAAATGTTGAAGAAAATTAGATGTTACCAATTATTTTTTAATAATGCAACGTCAAGGAAAAAAAAAAAAAAAAAAAGATTATGAAAATCCTACTGACATGTCTTAGACTTTTTAACACTTTTGAAAGATCAGTATAAGACAGTCTGATACCAATCAAGGCCTTATTTTTAGATTAACAAATTCAGTGCCTTTTAAGACTTTTTAAGGATCTACAGGAACCCCGTACATTTATGTACCCTGCACCCTGGAATTGTTTTGGAGGTAGCTGGAGTGGATGGTGGCCTTTCAGAGCGCAGGACTGTGACACCCTAGAAAGCGGGGTTCACATCCAGACTGCTGTCTGTGGTTGGTGAAGGCAACTTAAGCATTTTGGTTAGAATTAGGGAAAGATTGTGATTTTGGTAAAATGTTAATAAAAAGGTAACAATGACGACAAAAAAAAAAAAAAGCTGTATAGTGTAATGCAACATTACTTATTATGGCGAAAATACGTGAAACACATCAGTGAACAATTTGTTGAAATGTTCAGTATCAATGTTTTTGGGACTTGCCAGATATGTTAGCACTGGCATTGACATTGGCAACCTTTTCTCATTATGTTAATAGAAGACATATTTGACTCAGCATTATGTTTCCATCAAAAATGTATTTGCTGTTTCAAATTAGCTGAATATAAACTTTGTTTCTAGGAGACAGGTGTCATGGCCACGGCCATGTCACTTGTTTTTTTGCTGTTTGTCTTCTTTTTCCCCTTGTCTCCAGGGGGGTAATTCCATCAATGTAGCTAAGAATATCCAGACTAAGGTGTAATCTTGAAGTTTGACTAAACGCCAACTCCCAATCTAGTTCTGACCCGTTCCATCAAGTGAAATCAGCTGGCTCCAATTGACGCTAATCCAAGCCTCACCTGTTAAGCCTCAACTCGTGCACGCTCCCAGGGAAAATAAAAAGCCCAAACTAGTTGAGTGTCGAAAATGTTGCAAAATGTCAAAAAGCAAAGGAAAGGAGCGAGTGGAAGCTTTTTCTGCAGCGGAGCAAACGCTCCTTATGGAAGCGTATGAGGACTATAAGGACATAATTAAGAAAAAGGCAATACTGCAGCAATTAATAAAGCAAGGGAGGTGGCGTGACGGAATATTGCTGACAGGCTAAATGTGTAGGCTAAGTGACAAAGAAAATTCAGCATTTCAGCATAATATCACGTTATATAAATCCTGCATCAAAGGGACAAAATATATGTAGACAAGGACACCTATTAAATCTAACAATTCAAGTCTGCCTAATGAAATTCACCAAATGTATAAATCAATATTAGTGAAAGACTATTTATCACATTTATCTACTGATTCCTATGTACATTTCAGATGATGCATTTAATCAAACTATTTTATGTGAATCATCGCATTTATCACATAATTGATTGTAGATTATGACATTTCTGAAATGATCAGTTTATAGGAAATAATCACATTACATTTATCTATTGATTGTAGAAAATGACATTTAGCAAATCCATCAATTCAGTGGAGATGAGGAAAACTATTAAGTGAATGCAGGTGATAGTGAATCAATTATCTATTTCTCATCAATTGTAAGCTCTATCCCTTATTATATCAAAATAAGGAAAATTCCCTTAAATGTATGGAATGTGCTATAGGATGAGGAACAGACAGACCACAATGGTGTGTGTCCCATTTTAATGTGGTTGCTTTGTGTCATGGTTAATTCACAAATATAAAAGATAACCATATGTTAATGTGAACAAATCAAGCCCTATGCATGATGTATGGTGATGCTAGAAATAATCAAAATGAATAGAAAATACACCCTTTTTACCTCTCTGCAAACAGTTGTCTTACTTCTCTGCCTCTCAGCATCACCAACACTATACAGGAATGTACCGCTAGCAAAGAACCTCAGTGCAATACAGACTGACTGCACAGTGGTCAGAGACAGGCTGCGGCGTGTGACCTTTATAATGTGTGGTTCCAGCAAACTGCATAGATACACTATGCTTTGCCTGCTGAACCGGTACCTCTCCCACAGATAGGAGTCTGTCTGTATCAGTGGGTTGGTCCTGTCCTGGAAGACCCTTGGGGCTGGTGGTGGTTGGAAGGCCCTCTGAACAATGTGGGCCTCCTCATCAACAGGATCCTTGATGAAGGGGCATGCCATTATTTCCTAATTTACTCTCTCTTGCTCTGTCTCTGTGTCTCTCTCTGGGTGTGTCCCTCCCCTTCTCCGTTGTCAGTTGACCTTAATTGGCTGTGAATTTGCTAGCCAATTGGAAACAGAGTGGGGTGGGGATGGGAGGGCAATCACATAGCCTATTCATGTACAATCTTTTTTTTAATGCCTCAGTTTCATTTTATTATAGTTTTGTTTTTATGAAATTGATTTTGGCTTTACTGTTGTGTTTTTTTTTTTTTAATTATCTTATTTTTATTACATTTTAATTAGTTTTTTAGTAGTTAATTTTTTTTATTAATTATGTTATATATTTTATGATCTACATATTATTTTATCATTACATGACAGTTGTGAGTGTGTAAAAGCACTGGCAGAACTGTCTTTTAGGTGTCTGTTCTTGTCTATTGAACATTTTTTGATCATAGATGGAGATAATCCTCACCTTAATACTGCTACAGACCAGGATTGCCCGGCAGCATAAGTTACCATGGTTACTAGGCTGGGATTCAGGTTAACCACTTTGATGGAACGGAGTTGTGGCTCAGATTGATGGAACGGAAACCGGAGTTTAGCGCGATATATCAGGCTTAGCCAGAACCACGGTTTCCATGGTTACCGATGTGAAGCTAATCTTAGCCACTTTGATGGAACAGAACTCTGGCTCACATTAGCCAGACTTGGCCACTTCAGCCTGGATTTGCCTTTAGCCTGCTTGATGGAATACCCCCCTGTTTCCCTCTCCCTGTTTGTCTGTGTCTGTTGTGGGTGTGGCTCTCACTCTGTTGTTTGCTGATTGCACTCATTCAACCCACCTGTTCCCTGCTGCTCACCTGCAATCCATCTAGTAATCAACCTAAACAGTTCAAGACACCGGCTCCTCATCGCCAGATCGTTGTTTCTGTCTACCTGGTGGAACACTAGTCTAGGCTCCTGTTGAAATCTTTGTTGAACTTTTGCTCCAGTGATTTTTTTGCTCTGTGAATTAACTCAGTTTTCCATCTGCCTAGATCCACTGCCTGCCACCCTGCCTGCCTATCTTCCTGCCATCTGCCTGCCCACTAACTCACCCCTGCAAACATTCTCACCTGCCATTGTCTGAAAAATAAACTCCCTTTGTTCACCTCAATCCCCTGTAGTCTGTCCTGCATTTAGGTTCATCTGTTGCACACAACAACAGGGCTGCAATCTGAGACTAATATGAATATGAATCATCCTTTGACCCCATTTCTGTTACAATTTTAATCTAAATTTAAATAACATTATTAAGTATTTTGATACTTTAGTGTAATGTATTTAAAGCAGCTGTGCGGAACTTTTTACCATTAATAAAACTGTCCCTAGTTCGTATCACCCCCCCTTGAAGATCCACATATTTATTTGAACCCAACAGCGACAAAAAAGCCTTTCTCTATATGGCTATTTAGTGTAGCCTCACTCGGGTAGGACACACAGCGGAAGTCAGCAAACCAGAATACGGCACCCAAGGCAGAAGTGATTCTGCTCGCCCGCAGCGGCCCGCAGCGATTAAACCATAGAAGAAGGAGCCGTGTTTACAGTGTTCTTCGAGTAAGCAGTACGCAACGGGCATTGCTGAACACATAACACCTAACAGTTTTACCAGAGATGTATCTATGAGGACTTGGTTGTACTTTTGATGTCATGGCGGATAAGGAAGGAGCATCATCTAAAATTATCTGTGACTGTGACCATGAACACAAATATACAGCAGGCAGTTGTCCTCAGTTTATAAGAAATTCAGAGCTACACCAGAACATTTATGAACAGGTTTTACTTTACTACTAATTTGTGTGTAACGTTAGCATGTTAGCATGTTTCCACTAATTACTTGGACTGACCTAACGTTAGTAGCGTTAGCTTTGCAAGTGAAGGCTGCAGGTAACAGCTTTGCTTTGTTAGGATTATGTTATGTCTTCACTGTATATCTTCACATAAAAGAATACTCAGATGATATGGGAGTCATGCCCTTTCTCTATCATTTTCATATTGAGACAACATGATTGATATCTTTTTTGTGTCTGTACATCCAGTGGCTGGGTCTCAGCGGTTAGCATTGCGCTTATAGGGGGTCAGTACGTCCTGCGCTGTGATCCGCGGAGGGATACACCGGTGAGCAGGCACAGGTGTAGCTTGTAAACAAAACTCAGCTGTTTATTTAGCCTAGCGATATCTCAGGACTAGAGTAGCTGCAATGGACGACTTTGAACGCGATTTTGAAGAGTTTCTTGTAGCGGACATAGATCCAGAGCCATACCTGTTTGAGCCGGAGTACACAGATGAGGAACTCCATGTGTTGAATGCTGAGCGGGTGAGAAGAGAGGCTGAATCCTCCGCTCCCATTTTGCTGCACAGAATGGGATTCGGTGCTACCATCGTTGGAGAGATATATCATCAGGAGGAAAACCGCCGCAGAGAGTGCATCACAAGGAGTGAAAACTTTGCAGCAATCACCAATCCTGGCGTGATTGAAACTTTTTTTCATGTTCCTAAGATGAACTGGAAAAAACGGCCAGGCCTGCAGGAGCTGATGGACAGCTTTCAGTCGGGTGAATAATATCGTCCGTGTCGTCTCTTTGTTTGCTTTTACCAAGTGACCTAGCGTACCTGTCCCAGAGCCAGCTGCAGCTGTTGCTCACCGGTGTATCCCTCCGCGCAAGATGTACTGACTCCCTACAAGCGCCAAGATATCCATCATGTTGTCTCAATATGAAAATGATAGAGAAAGGACATAACTCCCAAATCGTCGGAGTATTCTTTTCACATAATAATGCGGACTCAGCAGATGAGTTGTTAACTGTTTATTCCTCCTTACACCGAACGTACAAGGCTGCTTCTCACTGTTTCCAGTAGCACAACAACGTTTACTACATTACCCAGAATAACTTGAGGCTCACACTACTACGGTAGCCTTAGTAGCTCAAAATACACAACAGATTAGATTAGATCAGAACAGAAACACGACAGGAGAATTTACTGAGTAATTTTGCTGTTTCCACTAATTACTTGGAATGACCTGACGTTAGTTAATCCTCTCGCTCTCCAGAACAAATGCATGCGGTAATTGCCGGCTGCAGTCGGAATTTTACGACACCAGGCTGCGGGTGTCATACCGCTTCGACCAAAGGGGCGCTATAATCAACGAAAACGAAAAGTTCCGCACAGCTGCTTTAAAGAAATGCATTAGCTAGTGAACTGGCACAATATGCTAGTAATAAAAAGCTAATAAAACAACTAAACTAATAATTAGCTGGTAATGAAACCTGGTTTATGATGACAACTGTTGTTGTTTTCTGTGACAGTGTAAATTGTTTACATTAAATGTTCTAATGTGGAATGACTAATAACCTTGAACTGTTTCTCCAGATGTGTCCGGCCGCTGTGTCCTGGTGTCATAATGCTGCTGAAGTAGCAGTGAAACTGGCTGGCTGCCACTTCTGTCTCTTTCCCCAAAATGGCTTCCATCAAGGCATCGTGGATGAAGATGTACTGCTCCTGGATCAGCCAAATGGTGACAAAAGACAAAAAGGATGCTGAGCAGCTGGTATGGCAGATGGTGTTTGGCATGCCCAAAGCATTGATTTGCTACTGCTATTCTGTAATAAAATTAAGTATTAGTTGTAACCACATTTTGGGTTTATTTGAAGACGTAAAACATGGAGTGCAACACAGGAGAAACTGCCTCTCCTTCCTGCGCAAAGGGTTTAAAAGTAAAGTGATGTATCAGTCTAACCACACACACAAACACACATACGTTCCAGACCATACGTTCAGTACACATGCTGACCACAGATAAACTCAACAGAAGCTGCCAGAGCAGACAGAGATTTCACAGTTAAAACAGATATTGAAGTTATCCTACAATACTTTGTTTTTTCTTCCACAATGAAACTGTTCTGGCAAACACAGAGAAATACAGCCTTAACCTCTAAGTGACATAATGTTCTACCATATGGCAACAGTGTTCTTATTAAGCAAGTATGTGAAGCTTGCTTGAGGCACATCAGCAAGGACAGTACTATATCAGAGATGGAGCTGCAGACTGTCTGTTAAGAAATGACAAGAATGTATTAATGGATCCTGGGAGAAGAAGTTTCTCTCAGCCTCAAACTCTGTTGAAGGATGTTTGTGCCTGCTTGCAAGTGTGACAATGAACTTAGACACTCTTTGTCTGTGAAATTTCCACAGACTAAAATTAGTCATGTGTCTCAGGTAGATTGTTTGATTTGGTTCTCTGTGCTAGCTTTAGCATTCACTATGTTGAGCCACACAACTTTTATTTGTAGAAAAATTATTCAGACATTTGATGAGTCTTTTCAAGACTTTGTACAGAGCAAGGTACTGTATATCCACAACTAGTGACTGTGGATATTTGTGGTCCCTAGAGGATGATTCCTAATGACTTTTCAGACTTCCTTAAGCAACACTATTAGGCTGCTGTTTCACTTTTACACTGCTGTTAATAACAAGATACCTAGAAACTGGATTTCTGCTGGAAATTCATGCTTCATCCGAGTGGATATTCATGGATGACTTTTTGGTGACCCCCTGACCTTTACTCAATTGAACCTTCCTAAGTCCTGCCCCCTTCTGTTACTGTTGCTAGGTTGGACAAGTTTGACAAAAAGGAGAGATGGCCACACCAGCTCTGTTGAGTGGGGTGCTGCAGTGCTTATTAAATAATTTCTGGGTGTCAGGTTTCAAGAAACCGACAGCAAGGACTACAGTATGTGATGAGAAGGACATATTCATTATGGTAACTAATGTGAACAAGGCAAAACAACTTGAATTGAGGTTTTTGGTCTCAAAGAAAAGGGGGAGGTAAAGACAGAGGATGACAAGACTAGTCAGTCAACACTGCTACTACACTGCTGGGTATGTGTCCCCTTTTCCCCATCTAAGGGATCAGTATTTATTACTGAATACAGATCACAGTGCTGACCAAATTTCAGTGACATTGGGGTGGCACGTAGCACTAAAGAGATAATATAAACAAAGGAACATAAACATTTGATCATTTTTGGATGATGATAATTCATGTAATTTTAAAATGATTTTAGCAACCAGCCTACTGGCCTTTTCAAAATCTCTTTAACCTTACCACAGAAATAAGGAGGGAGCAAACATGGCTGACATTGGTGATCTGACATTAAGCCAACTCCTCTTGATGTAGATATACAGTAGTTAGCCACTTCCATATCTTTTAACCACCTTCAAAATTTTCTTTTCTTTTCAACATAGACAAGCCAAGCACATGGCATATCTAAGTGTAATAAGGAAGGGGAAAATTGACCGAGGTTCAAAGCTAACTGTTGCTGGAGCACAAAACTAAAAGGGGCGGGACTTAGGAAGGGCTAATTGCAATCAAAGCTACTCTTTAACAAAAGACACTGCATTACAAGCTGCGCCAATATTATGAAATGGTATATACTTATGGTCTCCTAAGTGGGCACGATCATCTCTACCTCACATACCCCCAACTTGTTTGGAAGTGTAATAAATGTCATGTGGATGGATGAAATCAGATTCAAACACAATTTACAGTACAAATTTAATGCTTGTTTTTTTGCTTATTTTGCCGCTTGTCCCTGTTTGTCTAAATAGGGCACCAGGTAGCAGAAACATTATTTGTACTAAACCCACAAGAGGAAGTAATGAGGCACATGAATGTGTTCGATGTCCATGCTTTCATAACTTAAGAGCTACATTTCCAAATAAGAGTCTCACAAACATACAGATACAGATATACAAACCTCAGTCTGGACTAGGTAGTTGCGCTGGGTGCGTATGTGTTTGAGGAAGCCGAGTACATTAACTGTGCTCTTGTCTTTGATCTGCTGCAGCATGCTGTCTATGACGATGTACGTCCCCGTCCGTCCCACTCCAGCACTGCAACACATGAGATTACAGATAAGAGGAAAGGTTTATGGATGGAAAATTAGCATTCAAGTGGACATAAAAATACTTTTAAATGCCTTTATTACATAGCATAGGTGACAGTAGACAGCTGTCAGGAAATGAGGTATTAAGACTTAATGTCAGTGGTAGTTTTGTGCCCTGGATGGATTATAAAATAAAATCCCTTAAACTTTTATTTGTTGTTTCTTGTACAGTAGTTGGAGACCTCCATATCTGACAGCACAACATTTGAGGTCTCCATATGTATGAATCTATCTACAACACAATCACCATGAAAAAAGTTGGCATCGTACATTTCTGCAAACCACAGACACTTTATATTTGCACAATTTTATGTTGCAGATACAGTACAGGCCAAAAGTTTGGACACACCTTCTCATTCAATGCGTTTTCTTTATTTTCATGACTATTTACATTATAGATTCTCACTGAAGGCATCAAAACTATGAATGAACACATGTGGAGTCATGTACTTAAAAAAAGGTGAAATAACTGAAAACATGTTTTATATTCTAGTTTCTTCAAAATAGCCACCCTTTGCTCTGATTACTGCTTTGCACACTCTTGGCATTCTCTCCATGAGCTTCAAGAGGTAGTCACCTGAAATGGTTTCCACTTCACATGTGTGCCTTATCAGGGTTAATTAGTGGAATTTCTTGCTTTATCAATGGGGTTGGGACCATCAGTTGTGTTGTGCAGAAGTCAGGTTAATACACAGCCGACAGCCCTATTGGACAACTGTTAAAATTCATATTATGGCAAGAACCAATCAGCTAACTAAAGAAAAACCAGTGGCCATCATTACTTTAAGAAATGAAGGTCAGTCAGTCCGGAAAATTGCAAAAACTTTAAATGTGTCCCCAAGTGGAGTCGCAAAAACCATCAAGCGCTACAACGAAACTGGCACACATGAGGACCGACCCAGGAAAGGAAGACCAAGAGTCACCTCTGCTTCTGAGGATAAGTTCATCCGAGTCACCAGCCTCAGAAATCGCAAGTTAACAGCAGCTCAGATCAGAGACCAGATGAATGCCACACAGAGTTCTAGCAGCAGACCCATCTCTAGAACAACTGTTAAGAGGAGACTGCGCCAATCAGGCCTTCATGGTCAAATAGCTGCTAGGAAACCACTGCTAAGGAGAGGCAACAAGCAGAAGAGATTTGTTTGGGCCAAGAAACACAAGGAATGGACATTAGACCAGTGGAAATCTGTGCTTTGGTCTGATGAGTCCAAATTTGAGATCTTTGGTTCCAACCGCCGTGTCTTTGTGAGACGCAGAAAAGGTGAACGGATGGATTCCACATGCCTGGTTCCCACTGTGAAGCATGGAGGAGGAGGTGTGATGGTGTGGGGGTGTTTTGCTGGTGACACTGTTGGGGATTTATTCAAAATTGAAGGCACACTGAACCAGCATGGCTACCACAGCATCCTGCAGCGACATGCCATCCCATCCGGTTTGCGTTTAGTTGGACGATCATTTATTTTTCAACAGGACAATGACCCCAAACACACCTCCAGGCTGTGTAAGGGCTATTTGACCAAGAAGGAGAGTGATGGAGTGCTGCGGCAGATGACCTGGCCTCCACAGTCACCGGACCTGAACCCAATCGAGATGGTTTGGGGTGAGCTGGACCGCAGAGTGAAGGCAAAGGGGCCAACAAGTGCTAAACACCTCTGGGAACTCCTTCAAGACTGTTGGAAAACCATTTCAGGTGACTACCTCTTGAAGCTCATCGAGAGAATGCCAAGAGTGTGCAAAGCAGTAATCAGAGCAAAGGGTGGCTATTTTGAAGAAACTAGAATATAAAACATGTTTCAGTTATTTCACCTTTTTTTGTTAAGTACATAACTTCACATGTGTTCATTCATAGTTTTGATGCCTTCAGTGAGAATCTACAATGTAAATAGTCATGAAAATAAAGAAAACACATTGAATGAGAAGGTGTGTCCAAACTTTTGGCCTGTACTGTACATTGAAACTTTATGTTTCAACAACGCTGCAGTTAATATATGATTAGGCACAAAAACCACTTGGTTATGTTTAGGAAAAGATCATGTTTTGCCTTAAAATACCCAGTTTTGGTGGAACAATCCTTGCTGAAAAACAGCGATGGGTTGCTAAAAGACACCCAATTTTTGTGGGCTGAAAAGCAGCTAGAAACACAGGAATGACTTGATACAACTGGTTTCTAACAGTGGTCTGCAACTGAGTATCTGACCAAATATCTCCCCTTCTGTTCCTAAATTGTGATGTTGAGTAATGGCCACAAAAGTGTTTTTGCAGAACATTATGATGTCACAGTGAAGTTGACCTTGTAAATGGCCTTTGATTTTGTCATAATGAGTGCCTGAATTTTTGAGTTGAGGCCAATAACATGTTTTATGAGGTCACAGTGACCTTGACCTTTGACCACCAAACTGTAATCATTCATTCTTGAGTCCAGGTGGACGTTTGTGCCAAATTTAAAGAAATTACTTTAAGTGTTCTAGAGATATCGCTTTTATGACAATGAGACAGATGTAATGTCACAGTGACCTTTGACAACCAACATCTAATAAGTTCACTGTTAAGTCCAAGTGAATGTTTGTGCAAAATTTGACAAAAAATTCCCTCAAGGTGTTCTTGGGAAATTGCACTCTCAAGAATAGGACATATGGATGGATAAACAAATGGACGGATGGACAGACATAAAACAAGAAAACACAATGCCTCCTGCCATGTCTATCACCGGCTCAGAGTAATAAAAAATAAAGAAATCACTTCCAAATAAAAAATGTCATTCACAAATTGCAAACTCATTATCTGCGCAACTATTTAGCGAAAACAAAACACCAATCAATCACTGTGCGTGTCCAGATTGAAGAATGCACAGTAGCAGATTCATAAGTACTCAACTTTTGACAGCAGGTTAGGACAGAATTGTCAAATTGATGTTTTGCTGACATTCTCTTTAAAGTTGCAAGCCTCAGTTTTGGCAGATTCTACCACTTTGCATGTAATTATCCTGTCTCATGAGACTGTGACTGTGTTCCAAAGTGTTGTCATTTCTCCACAGACCTAATTGTGAATTAAATTTGACCATTAAAAAGTAAAAGAATTGACATGCCCTTCACAGGCCATGTAAGCATGTGTTCTCTAACACTGACCAGGAACTGTATTTCATATCTGGAGGCTGTCCCTATTGGTGATGGATTTTTTTTTACTGTTCAGAACTGAGAGTCAAAACTAGAAAAAAAAAGATTATAAAATTAAAACAACAGTGGAGAAGTGTTGTTGACCAGTGTCTGCATTTCTACAAGTTGACAGCATGGCCACAGATACAATTCACATCTGTACTGTACTTACAAATTCAGGAGTTTAAGTTTCATGTTGCTTTAAAGCAGCAAGGCAGCAGAGTGAATGTGAGTGTGTCTCTGTGTGCTGTTTCTTGCATAAACGAGTGGGAGGATGTCTGTGTGTGTATGTGCTGGGACAAAATGGTAGTAATGAGTGGTGTGTCTGCAGCCACAGCTGCGAGGCAGTGTGACAAGTTATTATCGACGATCACAGTGCAGATGATAGCAGAGAGCTTCATACTCATTCCCCCCGGGGCCACAGTCAGCGGACAATTACCAGTAATTTCCCTGCCTGCCTTACTGTAAAATGCCCTTAAATACAAGCTGGCAACTGTGACTGCAGGTTCAGTGATGCTGTTTAGATATGCAGCTTTGGTAAAAGCAGCTGTGAGTGTAGAAAAGCACAAAGGCAGAGGTGTATAGGCAATTTGTAATATGTCTAAAAGGGAACTGAATAAGACTGTAGCATTTGTTGGGGCAGTATAAAGAGTGTATTCTTCACAAACATACGAAGGATGAAATTGATGCCTTAGTTTATATAAAAGGTCTTTTTGGATTATTTCAAAACTAAGTGTACAAAAATGAGCAAAATAAAATAGACACAGAATGACCACACTCACTATAAACAGGAATTTAAAGGACCGTTCATCCCAAAATCAACAATTGGTATTTCTCTTACCTGCAGTGATATTTATCAGTCTAGATTGTTTTGGTGTGAGCTGCTGTGAGCTGAGTGTTGGAGATATCAGCTGTAGAGATGTCTGCTTTCTCACCAAAATAATGGAACTAGATGTCACTCAGCTTGTGGTGCACAAAGCGTCAAAAAATTGATTTGAAAAACTAAGCAGCAATGTCTTTCTACCAAACTACACCACCGCCAACTGTATCACTGTGCAAAGGGAAGAGTGCATCTACTCATCGAGATGCTTGTGCTCTTGACAGTAGACTCACAAGTCAGTCTTTAGACGCTTTGCTTAACTAAAGACTGATGACTTTCTCCCTGATTTTGTGTTTAGATGGGCGGATACAATTTCAGAGTTTAAAAAAACTCCCTACGTTGTAGAACCAATAGTAAATCCACAGGGCGGTCCTTTGGTGGCTCGCTGAACTCTTGTGCTTGTAAACATAGTCCAACTAGAAACACGTGTAGCGGTGCAAAATGGCTCAGTCGCGCTCGCAGAAAACGCCGTCAAAGTTAGTGGATGTTTGCGTTTGCGGTGACACATTCTCGCCAACTAAAAGAAACAAACATAATCTTTTACAAGGTCATGACTCATCCGTCCGGCCAGACTATAGAGGGAATCGCCTTGTTGTTTACAAATATTTCTGGGTAGAAACCCAGCAGAGCTTTTAGCTATATATATATACACACACATTTTTCACATCACTGTATCACCATTTAGACTAATCTGATGTTTGTAAAGTCTATAAACACAATGATTGAACAAACATTACTATTTCTTAGCCGTTAGCGGTGTGTGTAATAACTCATTAAACGGTCTGTGAAAAAAATATTTTTTCCAGCGGATATTTTAGTTACAACATGATTGAGCTAGCAAAGCAGTTTTGTGTTGCTATGTGTGGTATTTATTCAGTTTTGGGAAATCATGATGTCTAGAAAGCATCAGTGGCTGCAGCTGACAGGGACAGCTAACACTAGCAGCAAAGCTAACATCAGGACGACATCTGTTAAAAGCCTCCCGTTGTCGGATACGACATAAAACTACTCCAGTTAGCTCAATCATGTTGTAACTAAGACATCCGCTGGAAAAAATATTTTCTTCACGGATGAGCACACGTTTGATAAAACGGAGTTTAATCTCTCGGCATCCATTTTCAAGCTCTCTTGTGTGTTTGTTTCCTTGCGGACGAGAAAAGGGGGAGCGCACATTTCCGAGAAGGCGTGTCCTTTTCAAAAATGCAAGAGGCGTTGCTTTCTTGCCAGCTATTTTCGCAAGTGTATTAAACACAATTTAGAAAGGAGTGACCCCAAACTATCAGAAGGCGGAGATCTCTGATTGTCTGGTGGCGAGACTATCTTGACAGTGACAGATGTTAACATTAATGCTGTCCTCCTCAGCTGAGCTATGACGTTAGCTAGCTCAGTGGTGCTATGTGAGCTAGCAGTAAATGCACGCTTCCCTCTGAGCAGTGACATGGTTGACGGGCATAGTTGGGTATTTTTATTTTGGTGCTTTGAGCACCACAAGCTGAGTGCAATCTAGTTCCTTTATACGGAAGAGACGGCAGAGAGCTCTACGGCCTATATCTCCAACACTCAGCAACTCACACCAATATGATCTAGACTGATTAATAATACTACGGGTAAGGGGAAAAATGTGTATTCTTGATTTTTGGGTGAACTGTCCCTTTAACATGTGTATAATGACAGTACAAACACAGTAATGTAGCTGAAGGATGGATGGGGAACAGATTAATGACAGAAGTTAAAGTCAAGTGAAAGCAGTGTAGAGACTTTACCTGCAGTGTACAAGCATGGGTCCCATGTCAGGCATCTGGGCAGCTGAGGACCTGCGGACAAAGGTGAGGACGGGCAGGGTGTACTCAGGGACACCCATGTCTGGCCACTGGGTGTAATGATATTGGAGCACTGTCCGTTCACCCTGGGCCCGTGCCTTAGGGTTCCCCTTCCCCCCCTGGATGGAAGAGAAGAGGAAAAAGAGAGGAGAAGATGTTTATCAGATTGGAGAAAAATAAAAAGACAAGCTGATTTTGAAAGAGGGGGGACCTCTACATTAAGGTACAGTCCTTGTATTTACCCACAACCCTTTAAAATTAACTTATATGTGAAACTAAAAAAAAAGTTGAGTTATAAGTCATAGCAGAGGAGATATTTTAATCTGGTCAATGAAATCATGTATTGTTATCAGTGCATTGCGTTAATCTGAAACTAATACAAAACCCAGATTGGTCTGCTTGCACTAAGCTGTGCCAAGCCAAGCTGTAAGGACACGTGTTTCCACAACAGCCTCACAGCAGGGGATAGCTGCACCACCCTGCTGTGGTCCTGCTAAGTAGAGGGGCTGACCATAGTCAAACTGTGGTGGCCTCTGCCCAGTCTGTACAGCTTTGTGGCTGTGCCACTGAGTAGAGCAACCTTTGTTCCTGGCCCGAACACAGAATTCAAGGCCAGCCCCATATACGCCAGTCTGTCTGTGTGTGAGCGTATTTGTGTTTCCTCATTGGCCGTTGCTCTCAATAAATAGACGCTGACAGAGCTGTGGTGACGCAGACCTCTTGTTTATGTTTGTAAACTGAAATCCACTTTCCTTAGTGGACACAAAGGTTTTATTATTTCACAATAAAGCAAGATTTATGGATCCTACGCACTTCGCCTACATTGTTGTCAGCATTTATACTTAATGCGGTGGTGTGTCTGTGTCACTCTGCAGTTACACCTCCAAAACACTAGTCGGCAGCAGAGGTTTTTGTGAAGTGCTGTTAAGTTTAGTTGATTCAAAACACACCCAAAACACACATTTAATATGGCTTAATAGAGATAATTTCAAACACAAGTACACAAATTGGCTTCACTATAACTCGCAACATTCACAGACAACACTTGTCTTTATCTGGACACATTTTCCCCACAAATACAACATGCTTACGTTATTAGTACAAGTCTATGGCATTTTACATTGTATAGATAGCCTAGTGGCCAGTGATCTTTCCCTCTTCTCATATAAAGCCAGGGACAACAGCAACATTTAACAAAGGTAACGTTACAAAATTCGACTCTATTACAGCTCACAAGGTTCACCAACAAAACAACTGTCATACTAAACACGTATCCAAAGAAATACAAAATGCTAATGTTATTAGCACAAGCCTGTGGCATTTTACATCGTACAAATTAGCCTAGCGACTAGCGGAGATTTTCTCTTCTCACATGAAACCTGTATAAATCCCTGAAGGATAACACACAAAACTTAAAATGCTATCTGTGAACTAAAAGTAAATAAAAGCTTTGTTTCCGCTGAGGGAAATGGTGTCAGTATACAGAAACAGACAGGAGGTCTGCGTCACCGCAACCCGTAGTTACAATAATGGGGAGGTGCACGTCAGGCTACGGCATAGGTTACAGCGTAGGCGCTACGTTGACGTGGAGCCTACGCCATACAGTGTTGATTCAACGCAGAAGTATTAAATGATCTTTAAGGAACAATAAATTGTGAAGACAATGAAGCCCCAATGAAAGCATGGAAGCATTTGAAGTCTTACGTGTGGTTTATCCTCGCTTCATATGAGTGGGGGAAAAGTCCGGTAGCTGCTAGGCTTAGGCAATGGAAACCGTCACAGGCTTATGCTAATAATATTAGCATGTTGTCAGTGAACTTTGTGAGTTCTAATGGAGCCAAATTTGTAACGTCACCTTTGTTAAATGTTGCTGTTGTTCCTGACTTCATCAACTAGAGGAAAAATAAAAGAACTAGGTGCTAGGCTAATCTATGCAATATAAAATGTCATAGGCATATGGTAATAATGTTGCCATGTTGTTTATGTAAACTACTATATATTATTTATTTGTCTAGCAAAAAACAAGTGTTAGTGAACCATGTGAGTTACAATTGAGCAGAATTCTGTAACCTTAGCTTTGTTAAATGTTGCTGTTGTTTTTAGCTTCATATGAGTAGAAGAAACCTCTGCTAGCTGCTAGGCTAATTTATGTAATGTAAAATGCCACAGGCTTATGCCAATAGTGTTATCATGTTAATTATACAGGGAAAATTTGTCTAACAAAAGACAAGTGTTTTTTTGCTTTTATTGTGAATAAACTTTCTGGAAATGCAACGTGTTTGTCACCAGTTATGGGAGCTTCATTATATGTGTTGTTCTTCAACAAAAATTGATCTAATCAGATACAGTGATACTGCTCTGTCTGGTCAGCAGATCAGTTTTAGACATTGCAAAGAGTAAAAGCACAAACAGAAACAGCCACAGTGAGCTGAAAAGAGTTGCAGGTGACAGGCTCTTGTCATTGAGGTAAACAGCTTTACCCTGTTACACCACTTCTTTCCTCTCATTCTCACCTTTTTGACTTTAGTGTTGCGCAATGTGAAGCGGCGAACAGTGTAGCAGGCATGAACTTTCGTGCTCTTCAGTGTGACTACCATGTTGCCGTACTCTTCGCTGTTCTCTGTTGGCCAGTACTGGTCACATTTTCTCTGTAGCACAAACACACACATATAAATCTGATTAAATTGCTGTCAACAAATTGTGCAGGGTGTCAGGTGTGTGTATCAGCTTTACAAGTAGGTGTTGAACCAGGAAATGTCAGTCACTGTATTACTTTTCGCATGAAACAGATCAAATATCTGTATTGTTTTTGTGGTGAGGTATTTTCTCCAGGGCTTAACTCATTCAAAGGGTAGTTTTAGTAAATTAAATAAATTTGGGAGTTACACAGTAGCATATGCGGTAGCATGTTAGCGCAAATAGCTTTCTATGGAGTGGTGCAGGGATGATGTTGTTTTGTACTAGGCCAAACTAGAAGTAAACATCCAGCTGGTTCCCTCAACAAAAAGCCTCTGGGATTTTTCCATTGGATTTGGATTACTGCAGAAAATAAGCTCTGTGGCAAACAGAAGTTTATGACAGGGCTATTTCATTACAAAATCAACTGGGACAGATTTTAAAACCAGGATATGTAGAAGGACCATACATTTTCAGCAGCCTATTCAGACATTTAAGCTTTTGGTTATGACAAATTTGAACAAATGCAAATGAATGCAATAAAAAATGGCAAAGTTTACTGTTTGACTTTTGAAATAAAAAAGTGACAGTCATACCTGACCCATGCACATCACAAAGTGCAGAAACAGAATAAAAAAGATCTGTCAATGCACAGAGCCATAACAAGTGGCAATAACACTATCTCTAACAGTATGTCCGTCCCTCTCTCTCTGTTAAGTCTGGCCCGCTGGTGACATAAGCTCTGTTGCTGTTGTTGTTGTTGTTAATACAGGGGCTGTTGAGTGAGAGCAATGTTTCCTGTGAGACAAAGCTACACGTCTTTGAGTTTTCTCTGCACTGTTTTGAGTCGAACTTTACTGAGAGAACTTTACTCTTGTCTCCAAGCCACAGTGGAACATTATAGTAAGCATGTGAATAAACAAGTATGAATAAACGGATTGTCCAATCCAAAGTTGTAAACTGTGTCCAAAACAAGTTCATCCATTCATCCTTCAATGGCTTGTCTAGATATTTTCATTTTGTTGAAAGTTACTTCACTACAGATATGACTTACTTATTTTGACCATGTGTGCAAATGTGAATGTTGTATGAGAATGTGTGTATGTGTTTTTGTGTGTGGCTGGCTGTGTGTGATGTATTTGGCCTTCTGCATGATTCCTCTGTAAATATGAGCTACTGTGGGAGAGCTGCGATGACGATTGTGTAAACTGGTGACTGTTTTTTTAAATGCATGCCATAGGCTGATCAGTTTTATGGTGGTGCTGAATCAGTAAGATTTGTGCACCAAAAACAAACAAAAAGGAATCAGTCTCACTCTCTTGCTCACTCGCTGAGTAGAGTACGTGTGGGCGCACATGGTAAACTACATACAAGCAGACAGGCAGATCTTGTGCGTACTATGAAACAAATTCCTGCTGCTGCCACTGAGTGGTGTCCATGGATATATTAAGAGACCTAGATACAGTGTTCCTGCTCATTCCTATGAAAGTTGTCCAGTTGTGCATGAAGCCAAAAAAGCTCTGTTTCTGCAGTATGAAATTACCCGGATGATCAGCGCTGCCTCATCATTGGGCCCATAGAGCAGGTGCAATAAAGACTTCAGCTGGCTAAACCCGCTTCTTCTGCAACCATGTTTTTTAAGACACACAAAAGCTTCAAAATTCACGAGTGGGGAATTTACTGACGTATTTTATGCTGTAGAGCACAACGTGAACATCTCTTTAGCTTGTGTTAATCACAGACTTAATTTCAGGCATCTAACGAAAAACCCCATTCGTAACTAATACAAATATTGTTTGACTTTTGAGCCAACATACCAGGGACCTTTTGGCTCATCAAAATAAATTCAGCCATTATTTTATTATTAAATTTTGCATGTTTGACAAGACAAAATGTCTGCTGTGAGAAATGGCTACTGATTAAGTCCCTGCCACCACATGTTGCAAGTTATGAAACATTTTCAAGCCTCTGAAGAAAGACTATCGGAACTCAGCTTCCATACAAGTACACCCCTCCCATCAGTGCTCCTTCAGAAGCTCCAGTAATATCTTGTATCCAGTAATATGTTGTTATGTACGTTTCATAGTTATCACAGCATTGCTCTGTTCCTCGTGGAAGAGGGAGCTTAGCCGGAATAGAGATCTGTAGCTCAGGTTTTGAGCCACTTTGTTGGTTTCCCATTTACAGAGTCAGAGTTGTGTATGAACAACAGATTTTTTTTTTTACTGAAAATGACAAAAAAGTGTATTGGAATAGAATCCCAGACTGCACCTTTAGACATCGATTTTGTGGTAGTGTCATAACATACCCGGCCTTTCTCCACTAGGTTGGTGATCATGACGATGATGCAGGTATTCTGCTCCCACACCATCCGCCAAAAGTCCTCAAAGGTGGACTTGAGAGGTCCCTGGGCTGCGATGTAAGCTTTAGGCTTATTATAACCCTGATGGGTGAATTATGAAGGGAAAGATGATTAGTTTGGCAACATGTGGCAAACAGAAATGACAAAACTAAACTATTACAATACTATTACATATCTAATATATTTTTACAGTTTTGTATTTCATCCTGCAGTCACCACCTTCACAATGATTCCTCCTGTCATAAAAACACACAGACATATCAGTATTTAAGCTATCCCAGTGGAAGCGCTTACATCCACATAGTTGGCATTGATGTAGTCGGTGTGTTTGGAGTCCTTCCCAGCCAGCGGCCTCAGCTTCACCCTGCTGTGGTCATCTGAGGAGGAAACACAGAGCAGCAAAACAGTGAGTGTGTTTGAGTGACTGAAACCACGGCGAGAGCTAACCTTAACTCTAACCCTAACACAGTGCTGTCCATGTAATGTTGTTAGCTTGGTGCCCTGCCAAGGCACCTGCTCCCAACCAGGAAGCACATTAACCTTTGTGGTTGAAACGATGGTCAAACTGGGTTGTGTAGCTTTTAACAGACAGCTAAACAACAGGGTACCTGCCCTTTGCTTCTAGCATGCACTCTAATAAATACAAGACTCGGCTGCTTTCAGACATAGCCAACGGTTGTATGAGACATGGGAAATATTTATTACAGATTGATGTAGTCAAGCACCAAGCCTGTATGTGGTGCTTTAATACTAGAGGGTTTGTGGTATGTCTTTGCTCTACTAGTGATGAAGCCCATGAGTGGTGATGTTAGCTGATTGGTGTGCTTAACCATTTACACATACACTTTGGCTCAGAGAGAGATCTGTGATTTGTGCTTGAAAACATTCAGAAAAAAAACCCTCTCTGAGCCCCAGTTCAGCCGATTTCCTGAAAACACAGAAGAAATCACTGTACAATTTTTGGTCTCTGCACCTGGACTAAAAATACGTGCATGTATTTTTGCTGCAAAGTTGAGTATTTGATCTACACTTAATATTTTATTGACACCATGACCTTTAGTATGGACCAAGCTTGAACAATCTTAACATCTAATGGGTACGTGACATTTAGGGAACTCCCAGGAAATCTTAATGTATTTTTTGCCACTATTTGGAAAAATCATCAACAAGGTAATCAATGAATAGATGACCAATTTGCTTTTTGTATTTGTGATCCCACAGGAGGAACCCCACTGATTTAGGTGATCCAGCTGCCTTTCCTCTAGAGTCACATCTCACACCAATATTTTCACTTGCACTCAGGATTCTGTACAGCTTAGTACCAGATCAGGGTATATTAACACTATCCAGAGGTGGCACTCACTTTTAATATTATCAAATCATTAAATGGCTGTTATCAGTGGTCATGAGGAACATAGATCTGAAGTAGTACGGCCCTACTCTGCCTCCTATATTTACATTTATTTGGCTAGCTCTTGTGGTCGTAGTAGTTAAGACAGCAGCAAAGGAAGATCTCAGGTGATGTCGTACAAAGGGCATCAAAGTCTGCGTATGGAGTGGGTCGAGGTGGATGGATGGGTCAAACAAACAGTCTCTGTGTGAAAGCATTTTACATTTTAATTGATGTAATGTATTTATGTTATATACAGAACATACTTAACTTCCTTCATACAGGTAATGCAAGTTAAGTTACATGCAAAACTCAAGTCGCGTAACAAACACATTTATTTTACCCTAAACTAAGATCTTTTCCTAAACCTAACAAAGTGGTTTGGTCTCCTAACCCTAATGAAACGGAAACCTAATGAAATTGCTATCATTTCTCAGTGTTTGATATGTACCCTCTGGCTTACTGGTCAGTGCAGTTTGCCCAATCTGAAGCATGATAATAGTAGAGATAACAACTGATAATGGTCTTTTGATGTGCTTATAATGTTGGAAAGGGGTGGAAGAAGAACACTTTGGAATTTGGTGATTCATTGACTTGTGTGTTTTTTCCCTCCACTTTTCTCATAACATTCACCTCTTGAAAGCTTTTTCCAGTCCCTCCAGAATGTCGCGATCGCAACAGTTAATGCAAATTCAGCCAATGCCCATGAATTCTGTGTGATCTTGCAATTTTGTCCATTCATTGCAATTTGACCACAAATCTGATCATAGTGATTAGCTGTCGCTGAAGAGGAATGCTGAAGAGAATTCACAGCTTTGAACACAAAAATCAGTTTAAACCAATCTGCTCAAATCAAGTTCAGAGAAAAACAGTGTCCACACAGCAGGTGAATAGAAATCGGGCAATAAAATGCTTTTTTAGTAACTGAACTAAATTTGCTTAGAAAACCTTCACACAGATTATATAGTATGAAATTAGCATTGGTTGCAACATGAGCGACAGCTTGGATGAAATCGCTGTGAATATAATTTCAGTGCTGAATATAGTAATATTCATTTCTGAGGTTGAGGGAAGACAGGCGGACATTTGGGAAGGAACAGTGAGAGAAGAGTCCCTGTCAGAGCTGTGACAAGTTTGAAATGAAGAGATTTGTGGACTAGCTGAACTAAACTGTAATTTTGGAGCAATTTGTCACATGAATATAGGGTCTGCTAAAGAGGTACAGACACTTTCATTCTGAAAATAACTTACTATAAAGTGTTCGACAGCAAAAATACATACAGTATATTCATTATGTTTTAAAAAAAGCTACCAACCATCCACCAAATGACCTGGGGTCGACTAAAATTTAGAGAAGAATTTGTCTATAGAAAATATTAACATGTAAACAGACTTGAATATGAAATATTGTATGTCTCTTTACATGTCTTAATACATACAAAACATGTCTGGCCCCCACATTGATGCAGTAGTTTAAATTACATAAGGGATAAATGATAACATAAGAGTGTGTACTGTAGAAAGGACATAGGACAGAGTATGCATAACACTGTGCTATGAAGTGTGTACTCACAGGCAACTATATTGATGTATCTGTTCTTGTGCTTGTTGTCAGGGTGGTTGGAGTGCTCTGACGTGATCTTCATATCTGCAGTGCACCGTTGAACCTCCTGGGAAAGGACACACACACACACACACAGGCACAGCTCTACATCATTCTGACATGTTTGCACACTTTGGTGTATGGCAAGGTATCTTGAAAATTACTGTTTGTATTCCCAAGAAATTTACTGTGGATGTCCCCAGAGGTTGAATCCTATTGCTTTTTTGGCAAGGTATCTTCAAACAAGCTATATGCTATATCTAACAAATTAGCGCCCAACAAAATAGCACCCCTACCAATTAGGTTAGGTTACGTTGTGGAAAAGAATCATGGTTGTGCATTGCCATGTTACTTACTTTAAATTAAGTTATGTAGGTTAGGTCTACTAAACTAATGATACGTAGGTTAGGACAACAAAAATGGTTGGACATCATTGCATTATGTTCTTTACATACAGTTTCATACTAAGAACACATTCTCACTCTGACCTCATCACATATCAACATTTGCTCATGGACTTTCCTTGTCAAGATATGATGTACAAGGTACCCTGGGTGCGTTGGTTGTCACATGGTTGGGTTTAGGAAAAAAAAAAAACATGGTTTGGCTTCACAATTACAGTTTTGCATGGGACTCAAATACTAGTCTCCTGGGGGAAAGTCCAGTGTTTGTTTGACCCATCCACCACCCCAACTTGCCTCCTTACCTGGACTTTCCCTCTATATACTAGTTCCTTCTATATAGTGTACAGTGAATGACAACAGCCTGTTTTTGATGACCCCTCACCTTTTGTCAGGTAACCATCACAGCAAAATTTGAACTTGAATGCAAAAAATACCAAAATCTATCGGATTATGTGTACTTGATATCTCAATCTAAAGCCAGACTACCATGAAGTTTACTGAACACATTCACGATCCACTGAGGAGTAACCCCACCCTTTTGTTTTTTACAACACCATGACCTTTCCTTTAGGGATACATTTGTATTGTGTGGTGCAGCAAACAATGCAGCCTGTAGGTGCTGCTACCTGTGCTTTAGACTTCAAGCCTTGTCTTTCAGTCAATTGCTCATCATTGTTTTGATGAAGCATGAATGCAGCATTTGAAAAGTCATTTACAGAAACGGAAAAAGCAGATAAGAAGTGTATAATAGGGCTTGTGATGAAAACAAGATTTCATTTGTTTCATCTGTTGTTGGTTTTTATTTGTTTTCCTATATTCATTTTTTGCACTCCAGGAAATATGACAAATTGCTGTTGGGTTGTTCTGACAAGATATATA